CCCCCTGCACGCACCCTCCGTGAGGGTGGAGGCCGGGGTGTGCGCGAAGCCCCGCCTCGGGCTGGACGCTGGGCTTACCTCGGGGCCCTGCCCACTGCGGGATGAGTTTGACTTTACTTCTCTGACCTGAGCCTCAGCGGTAATGTGAAGGAGACTTGCGACTCCACATTGTTAGATTCTGGGTCCTGTCTCTTTCCTACCCCCCTGCACGCACCCTCCGTGAGGGTGGAGGCCGGGGTGTGCGCGAAGCCCCGCCTCGGGCTGGACGCTGGGCTTACCTCGGGGCCCTGCCCACTGCGGGATGAGTTTGACTTTACTTCTCTGACCTGAGCCTCAGCGGTAATGTGAAGGAGACTTGCGACTCCACATTGTTAGATTCTGGGTCCTGTCTCTTTCCTACCCCTCTCCAGCCCCCAGTCTGAGCCATTACAGGCCTCTGCCTGATGTCCCCACTGCCGCCATCCTTGAGCCCCAGCCCTCTCTGGGGTCTGGCCTGGGGAGGGGAAGATGTACAGTCCTGACCCCTGCGGAGTGGAGCAGTGCCCCATCTGGCCTCAAAACCAAAATAAAACTGGGTCACTCTGCAATCTCGAGTTTTCATTTCCTTGTCACCCCAATTCTCAGCTATATTTAGCTTCCACTGTTCTGAGGCTGTTGAAGACTCTGGGTAGGATGAGTGCCACAGTACCTAGCCGTGCCCAGGACAGGAAACTGACAGTTTCCTTCGAAAATCCCTTGTGAGTTATGCAATTATATGGTCCCGACCTGGAAGGAGAGGCTGTGGCTGGGTGGTAGTGAAAGCATTGGACTTCCCAGCTCCTCAGGTGGGGAGGGCTGGGGGTACCGAAGATTCAGAGGCCTTGGCTCTGACCCCAGACTCCCTTATCCAGTCATCATCTTTTAAGACTTCTGAGGCTATTTCCTTAGAGGGAGACAGGGACTAGATGTTGTGATGCCTTTAGCATGGTGCGAGACTCCTTGGCAGCCTCAAAAATGATACTGGTGATTATTCTACAAATTGGTGCTAGCTTTATTCCAGGCTGTGCGCCAGCATGGTACGGTCCCTCATGGAATCACAGTCCGGGTGGGATGAGGTGGGTGACAGACCTGGAAATAACTAATCTTCGAACAAGGAGGAGTGAGTGTTGAGGTCCAGAAAGCAGGCAGACTGGCCAAGCCGGCGAGCCCAGAGGAGGGAGTTCAGCTGGCTGGGGCAGGGTTCACTCAGGCTTCAGGGAGGTGGAGACGTTTGATGTAATGAGCAGCCTAGGAAGAGGAGTTTGTTTTTAGGGGTTGGAGAAGAGCTTGTGAAAGGCAGGGATCTGTATAGTGTAGGAAATATATGGGGAAGGCATGGGTGTCTAGAAGGGAGAGAAAAGTCTAACAGCTTTACAGTTTTGTGAGGTCGGCACAGTCCTCCTGCCGATGAGGGGTGTGGACCTTGACCAAGCTTAGCAGGATTTATGAGTCTTGCTCACCGCGATGAGTTTCTGGCTGCCCTCTGCTGACTCTTTCTAAAAAGACCTTCAGGTGTGTGGGAGAAAGGCAAGAAGACAAGGCAGGGGGAGGCCCAGCCAGAGTTGCTGCAGTATTAAAATGGGATAGTGGTGCATTCTCTAGGAGATGATGGATTCCAGAGACTAGAGAGGATCAAAGGACTGAGGCCTTCTGTCCCCAGTGGTTGGGCTTTGTCCTGTTGCCAAGTTGCTTGTTGACAGCACTCCAGCAGCCTCCAAATTCTCCCCAGGCTTCTGGGGAGGGGCTGTCCTGAGCTCCAGGCTCAGAGATGCCAGTGTTTACTCCAGTTTTGTCCCAGGACCCCAGAACAGAGACAAAAACCAAGGGGCTGTGCTGAAACAGGAAGGTTTTGTCCTGGGCTGAACACTGCCTTCGGTCCCTTCTCCCTGCTCCTCAGTTTCTCCACCAGTAAAATAAGGCTAATGTCCCTGTCCTGCTACTTTATGAGGCAATAAACCTCACCATAAGTGAGGAACAAACTTGGGGATGGTTTATAAGCAGTTGGTAAACTCAAGTGCTCTCCATATGGAGGGAATTACAATGGAAACCCAACACCTGCTATTTTCCAGAATTAAAGCAGGGATGGAAGAAGGAATCCAGCTACCGAACCCCACCATCCCTCCAAGAAGGACTCTGGACAAGCTGGACAGCGGACAGTAGGCAGAAAAGATAAGGCCGGTTAAAGCACCGCTTGGATCCCCAAATCCCTAACACAAGAGGATTCTGACCCCACTATCTGGAGCAGAGCAAGAGACCTGTGGAAAGAGCGATGGACTTGCAGTCTGACAGCCTCATGGCCCAGTTCCAGAAGTGCTTTTACTAGAAGTCCTCTTGCCTGTCCTCAAGCAAGTCCTCTCATCCTCTGAGTCTTTGTTCACATGTAAACACCACAGTTTTGACAAGTGTCTCTCGCCTCTCTCCAGCGCTGCCCCTTGGTCCTGTGCATTTCGCTCTCATGCCTGGGCTGGCTCTTTGGAGTCAGGAGTCAGGCTCCCTAAAGCCTGGGAACTGAGTCATGGCACATACAAGGCCTATTTCCATCTTTTAAAAAATTCCTGTATGGATTTGACTGGATTTCATTACTAATCTCTTGTTGTTGTTGTTTCTGCAAGATAACTGGAACTCCTCTCAAACTCATCTGAAAAAAATGCGAATGTTACTAATACCTGCCCTGTAGAGCTGCTGAGGAGATCAGATAAGTTAATGTGGGTAAAGTGTCTGGGACAGTGGAGTCTGTAGTTAGCACTAATATCTCTGAACCCTGGCTTTGGGGACTTTGTCTTAGGGTTTTTAAGAAGGCTATGTCTTAACCAGCTATTATTTTGGTAGCGATGCTGTTACAGGGTGGGTCTCCCAAGAAGCAGACTCTGAGACAGGGTTCAGTTTGCTCTGCAGAAGGGAGGGGGAAGCAAAAGCTGCAAAGCAGCCCCTCCAAGAGCCCTGGTCTGCTCTGGAGCTAGAAAGGCCCTTCAGAGTCATCTTGAGCTAAGCTATTATACTCCTTTGTATTCCTGCCCCAATCGGTCATCCAGTGTGGGTCCCCCAGGGACTGTGACCATGGGTGGGGCACCAGAGACACGAGTGTGGGAGGAGTAACTGTCCCCAGCTGAGCCCATCCAGGGGTCTGCTGCCTGGAGAAGGCTGTCTGCCCACAGCATCCCCAGCAGAGATGGCAGTGATTTCATGGGAGGGGCCCTGGGCAGTCCATCACTGTGTTCCCACAAACACTGGGGTGGGGACAGGGGTGAGGTGACAGAGAATACTAACAAGTGCCCCCTCCAGTTTATGTTCTGGGTGTCACATCCTTCTCGCCTTAGCCTCAAACTAGCACCTGCCCTATTAGGGAATGGGGGAGGGGTCTTTGAGAATACTTCAGCTATGGGGTTGATGGGTACACAGTAGATCTCACCAGCCGAGCGCTGCCACCGCTGTTGTCCTTCCAGATCAGCTAAGCGCTCAACAGTCGTTTCTTGAATAAATTAATAAACAGTCTGACCATAATCTCTTCCCAGGCAGTTTAAGAGGTTTAGCTGCTTACTGAGCAATCCTCTTGACTTCCTTAATCCACCCTTGCCTAACTTTTTCTGCCGCTCTGCTGTTAGAAGCGCTGGGTCAGGATCAGTGTCAACCGGAACACCAAGTCATACATGCAGAGTGCCTACTGTGCGCAGGTGCAGTGGTAACGGACAGGCAGGGTCCGGTAGGTGCCCTTTCCCTTCCAGCCGCTCCTTCACTCACCACTCCTCCTGCAAACAGGGCTGCTCAGCAGCTTATCCCCATTCCAGAGGTCAGAGACCTGGGACACAGAGAGGGAGTTACTCTGACCCACCCTATGTATCCACGTCCCCTCCCCCAGGACCCGAGAGCAGAGTCAGCGAGGCCGAAAGACTTCCTGGGGCTAAAGTTCACACTGGAGCTGGGAGCTCTGAGTTCTAGTTCCAGCTCAGCTGTGAACTTGTAACCACAGGCTCCGCACTGAGTTCTGCGGGTTGAGGACAACATTCCCTGCCTCCTCCTATCTCACAGGCCCTGGGTGGATGCGAAGACGACCGCGGAAAGAGAGGGAAGTGTGGTGCTTCCTTACCAGGGTGGTGGGCCAGTGCTGGGGGCAGAAGGCTTGATATGTACTTTCTCTTTCAGCCATCACACCTGCAAGAGGGAGGCACTGTTACTGCCATCCTTCTAGGAAGCCAGGGCTCAGAGAGATGAAGTAACCTGTTGAACAACACATAGCCAGGAGAAGGGACCGTTAGACATGTATAAATCACACAAGGCTTTTGGGAAAAGGTTGCTCTTATTTGGTGCATGCGTGCGCGTGTGCGTGTGTGTGTGCGTGAGTGTGTGTGTGTGTGTGTGTGTTTTCTATAAGTATCAAGTCCTTGGCAGAGGTGTGTGGCGTTGCGTGAGTGTGTGTGTGTGTGTGTGTGTTTTCTATAAGTATCAAGTCCTTGGAGCAGAGGTGTGGCCAGGGAGGGAGCAGGGAGGTCAACACGAATCATTATGGTGATCTCCAGAGGGGCTCAGCCCTGTCCTGGGCCTCTTCCAGCGAACGGCTCAGGCTTGGGGACTTTGCTGTCAAATGGCCACATCGAGATGGCAGGACGCTCCCCCGGCCACCTTGGCCTACTTTATTCCCACAGAGGAGATGAGCCCATCATTATTGTTTGTTTTTCTTTTTAATAAACACATTCATTGTTTCCAGGAAAAAGCAATGTATGCTTGAGGCTAAATAATTTCCAAACAATTTAGGAAGCATAAAGTAAAATCAGAGGCTCTCAAGTTTTTCCTTCACATCTACATAGAGTGCACATTATGCTAAATATATAGTGCATATGTATACATCATATACATTTTAAATGAATGAGGTTATGATTTTCTTTAATTGGATTTTCCCTCTTAATAAGTTTTGGAAATCTTCCCATATCAGTATGACTCTGCCTCATTCTTTTGAATGATGATGTTATGTATAATCTATTTACTTATCCCCTATTGATGGAAATTTAGCTTGTTTCCTGAATTTCACTGTTACAAATAATGCTACAAGGAGAACCTTGTGTATTTACCCTTGAATACTTGTGGAAATCTCTTTAGAATGAATTCCAAGCAGAGGAAGTACTAGATCTGAAGATATAAGCAAATAGAATTATGATAGTGACTGCCAAATACTTCCCAACGTGATTAATCACATCCACCTTCATGCCAGCTCTGTTGGAGAATGCCTGTTGGCTCACACTTGCCTACGCTGGACATAAGCAGTAGCTTAAGTGTTTGCCTCTCTAAGTGGATAAATTTTAGAGTTATTTAATTTCAATTTATTTGGTTACTAATAGAACTATTGGATACTTTTATATCCTTTTCTATGAATTACCTGTTTGTACCCTTGCCTGTGTTTCTACTGTGTTGCATTCTTCTTAATAATTTGAAAGAGCTCTTTACATATTATAAAGTGCTAGTCACTTAACTTTATTATGTGCTATCTTTGGTCCTTTAGAAACTATTAATTTTATGTCATCAATTTTTATGTTTCTATTAAGAGCTTCTTTAGGGACAAGGTTGGGGGCCTGGCTTTCCTCAGAGATCATCTTAGACTCTGGTGGGTTTATGGTGCTGTCCTGACTGGTGCTCAGAGAACAGCATGGATATGTTAGCAGCTAGGGCTAAGAGACAAGTCCAGGTCTCTGTGTAATACAGACTTGGATTTAAATTCTGGCTCCAAACTACAAATAGGACATTTGGCAAAGCCATTTCACCACTCTGAGCCTCTGTTTTTGTTTTTCTTTTAAATCTAAATGACATTCAAATACATCTACACCTAGTGGAGGGGATCAAATGGGCTGCTGGCTGACTTGCACGGAACACAGTGGTAAGTTGGCACGTGGTAAGTTCCCCTTAAGTGATAACTCTTTCCAGCTCAGTACAATAGGTGCTGAGTAAGCAGGCTGTTTATGTGTCCAGAGAACAGGCTGGGAAAAGAATATTGCTGTCTATGCCTTCCAGGACTTCAACCCCCTCTCCTGGAAGAGGTTGTGGTTGTGGTAAGTGTGTTGTTCTCCTATATGTGATTCAAAATAAAATAATACTAAGCAGTATAATTAATGGAAAGAAGCCCCCAAATTCTTCATTTTTTCTACCCATGGCTTTTAAAATGGCAGTGCTTTACCTTCTTTTCCTCCTCCTTTTCTTGTTCATGTCAGAGTCTTTCAAATTTGCAGCTCAGACCCTAAACGAGCCACCCGTTTATTAGGTTATCCAGTACTAACTCCGTGCCATCCCTCAATAACCTGACTTAATCACATTATGCCAGGTTTTATAGAGCCGAAGTGACTTACTACCACATAGCTAGTAACTTATTGACTTAAAACATTTAATGTTCTTAGGGTAGTGCATAGTAAAAGAAATGCCAAATGTTAGCTGCTATAAGACAAAGAATCAGGAAATTTGTAAATGGTTTAAACAGTTCAAAATATTTATCTTCAGTTCTACCCAGGCTATCAGACCCAGGTTGCTTCCTTCTTATCGTTGTGCTGTTCATGACCTCCCAGTCTCTTGAGCTGATTACGTGGCTGCTCAAAGTCCAAGTCAGCCTTTTCTTTTTTATCTTTGTCTACAAAGTGGAAGCTGTGACACAGACACCTCCACATTCAGCTCTCAAGAAGAAGAGGGTAAGGAGGTGAGCACGCACAATGTTTTAAAACCCAGCAGTACGTACCACAGGACTGCACTGAATTACATGACCACACTTAGCTGCAAGGGAGGCTGGGAGATAGAGTTTCTAGCTGACAAATATGTTCATCGATAACTCAGGTATCAAGGAGTAAGGGAAAGGAGAGATTTTGGTGGATAACCAGTATCTTCCAGAGTATCAAGTGTTAATAAACAGTGGCTCAGTTGAGATTAGAACTCTAGTGACTGCTTGGTGGGCTGGGGAAGATATCAGAGGCCTGAGGCCTGTATAATGTTGGGATTGATTAGACTCGGTATCACTGAGCCATCACTCTGAATGCCCACCTTGAGCTATTTAATTCCCTTCAAGTCTCAGTTGTCTTGGCCATAAAATGGGGATAATTAGAGAACTCATCCATAAGTTGCTGCTATGAAAGCAGGTACTGCAATTTGTGATACACGCTAGGTGTTCACATGGTGGAAAGGATAGGGTAGAACACATGAAAAAAGAAATTCCAAGGGAGTTAACAGTGCTCGCACAAACCAAGAAGCAAGGATGAATAAAGCTTGGCTGGGAAGGTAATGAGTCGTAGTTAGCTTGTAGGGAAGGCAGTTGGAAGCACAAGGAATATGCTTGCAGTAGGCAACAGCCAAAGAGGAATGAGCCCTGAGAGCAGGCTGAGGAGCTGGAATTTATGGGGAGCCGTGGACGATAGGGTGAGAGCAAAGTCTTCTTCTTTCTCTTTTGTGGAAAGATCACTTTGTTATGGGTAAAGAGAATTTGACAGAGGTACACTGGAGAAATAGGGACCCTGGAAAAGATCGTCACGCTGATTTAAGTAGTAATAAAAAGCCTAGGGTAAGTGAAAACAGAGTGTGATAGTTGAGAGGAATGGTAAAGAGACCGATGTGATAGAGCTTAAGAGAGACTGTGGGGTGAAAGAGCACAGAATACAATGTCTGACGTAAGCACCTAGTCTTTTGCTGATGAAAATACTTTATATTTGGGTTAATCAGGATTAGTGTGTGGTTTTATGTAACAAAATAACAGTACCTTGAATACAAGGAACCGGACAGATGGCCTAAGACTGGTGGAGTTATCCAGAGTGTCGATATCCAGGTCCCTTCAGCTTATTGCTTTGTCATTCATGAGTTTGACCTCATGAGTCAAAAAGGCTGTTTCAGCTACTACATCAACATCCCAGCCAGAAAAATTGAGAAGAGAAAGAGAAAGGCACTTTCCGGAAGTTGCCCTCAATCAAACACAAAAAATGAAATGTTCAAAATATGGTCTTGCGGGGGGATGTATCTACCGAGAATTTGGATATTCTACTACTTAGGAAGATGAAAACGGATCCTGAAATCTCAATAATGTCTTCAGAACTGTAGGGGAGGTCACAGAAAAGAGAAGCCAAAAATTATTCTTGGGTACGGCTTGGGGGTCCAGAAGACTCTTGGTTGGAGCAGCGCCTAGGAGGAAGAACAAATCACAGGGAGTAGGATAAGATGAGAATGAACAGGTTAGGTCAACCAGAGTTGGGATCTAGGAGATGGAGGGCCAGGCAGAGCCCAGGACTCAGAAGTGGTTCTAGAGTGAACATATTTTGGAGTTATTAGCACACTCATGGTTGCCATAGAAATTCTGAGGCAGAGTGAGCAAAACAAGAAGCCAAGGACCAAACCTTGGAGGAACAAAGACATGGCAAAGAAGGCAGAGCCAGAGATTGAAAAGAAAGGAGCAGCTGAGGAGGAAGGGAGAAGAAGAGCAGAAGGTGTCCCTGGGGCCCAGGATCTGCTTCTCAAAGGAAGGCCTAGTTTGGCTGTGACGTAAGGTAAAATGAGGGCTGAATGGAGGTCCTTCAATGTGGTGACCAGGAAAGCAATAAACAAGTTTGCCAGAGTAGTTCCACAGCAGAGGTGGAAGTCAGCCTGCTGTGGGTCCACAGAAAGAAAGGACAAAGAGGAAACAGGGTTGGCAAAGGAGCTGTCTGTCTTAAGAAATCTTTTGGGACCTCAGGATTTTCATGAGTCAAATGACCTGGGTCTAGGGCTCCTTCACTGTCTTGTTTTGATTTGCCCGCTTTTGAAGGTGCTCTCCAGCACATGCGCTACCCTCAGTACCTTCAGTAAGTTTTTGTTGTTTTTTAAACTGAACCTAAAAGCATTTGAAAAGCTCTACCTTTGGGTTTGGCCTGATGGCACTCGCTTGCTACGGGGCACAACATCCCCCTTTGCTTTGGAGTTTCCTCCTATCTTAGATGGGAGCTTTGAGTAGAGGAAACTGAATGGTAATTTCAGTTTCAATCCCGGCTCTATAACTTACTGGCTGTGTGACTTTGAGCAAGTCTTCTCCCAGGAGAACCTGCTCCCTTATTAGCAAACAGGATGATATTCTTGTGGACAGGGCTGGAGCTTTGGCAGGAGAAAGGGTTCACCGCAGAAACCAACCATGAAGGGTGCTTGGGTCTGTAGAGGAACCAGAGAGAAGTGGCTTTGGGATCTGGAAAGTCGAGTTCAGATTTTGCAAATGAGAAAACTGAGGCTCACAGCAAAATAGAAATGATTTTCCCAAATGTGACAGTTAAGCAGGACGGCCAACTTGATTATCTTGAGAACTGCTTAAGGGGTTACTAAGGCACATCTCTGGGTGGGTCAGGGTACTGCATCTGGCCCCTGGCTCCTTCCTCTCGGGGATTCTTTCCCTGGCCACCATAATATAAACAGCTTTGATCCACGTTCCAGTCTAACACTCCCGCACTGGAGCCAGCTGACCATGGACTGAAACTCCTGAAACCGTGAGCCAAAATTGAACCTCTTTTCCCTTAGGTTGTGGATGTCAGGTATTTTGTCCCAGCAATGGGAAAACCGACCAATACACCAAGGCCATATCCTCAAATAGGCAATGCAGAGGCACCAAACCCAAAATTTTGGAAAATAATTTAATGTACTACAGTATCTTGGGAGGAAAAAAACAGTCTTGAAGTTGTATCAAGTGAAAAATCAGAACTTTGTGGGACTTCTTTACTGTGTAGTTTGCTGTACTGAGAATCTCTGAAGGCTTCACACACACACACACACACACACACATGCACACATACTCCGTGTGAGCAGGGAGTTTGAGTTTGGGAAAACTGCTATGACCTTGGCCCCTAAAGCAGTGACTGGTGCACTAGAGATGAACAAACAACTGTGGAATAAGTGAAGGAAGGGCAGAGAGCCAGCCCTGTACTCTCAGGCAAGTTCTGGCGCCCTCATTTCTCAACTTTGCCACTCTTCCTCCTCTTCTCTCTTCCAGTCACACTGGGCTTAACTCAAAGTCCTTCGCGATGTGATGTCTTGGCCCTAAAAGTTTAGCCTGTTTCTTGGCTCCAAGCTAGTGCCGCAACTCCAAGCCAAGGTCTTCACTGCCGCCTGGTGGCCAAAGGGCACATTACGGGGATTAGGATGATTCCTCTGTGCGAATCCCAATCCCAGGTTGCCTTCCAATCAACATTTATGAATCATTCATTTATTCAGCCTCGTGTTGGCGACAGCAATGGCCAAAAATACGAAACAGATGTTTCTTGCCCTCCAGAAGCTACAGACATACCTGGGAAAGAATGCCAGAAAGGGAGGCGCTAGGGTCCAGATGTAGTATTCCAGGGGACGCTGGCCAGAGTGTCGGGAAACCCACCCCTGTTCCGAGCAGGCGAGGCCGCCTGGGTCTCAGGCCTCAGGATGTTCCTCTCGGGACAATATGTTGTCAATAAACTTCCTACCTTTTCCAAGAAATCCTCTGGCTCCCACCCATTTTAGAGACTATTTGGGGAAAGGGCGAGAGGGGCCCAGGGAGGAAGAGATGGAGAAAAGAAGAGAGGAGGGGAGGGGAGGGGAGGGGAGGTACCTAGGGCCTTCAGAAGCCATTTGGGACAAAACCAAAGATGCTTACAGAGAATTTAAGAAAATCCTTTACGATATGCAAAGTAAATCTTCCACTTCATTGTTTCCAGCAAAATCCATCTTATGAGCTGTACTAGTCAGTGCCTGTGAAATGCTATAAAACAAACCAGCTCCACATCTCAGGGACACAAAAACCAACTATCATTTCACACTAAGTCTCCAGTTCAACTGCCACTCAGCTGATGCTGACCAGAACAGGCTGGACTGCTGAATTTGGGTCTGGTTCCCATCTGCTCCACCTGTCTGCCTTCTAGGTCCCGGGTAAATGAGTAACTACTGTCTCCGCTGGGAGAAGGAGGTACCGTGAGGTGTGGCACACACTGACATGGATTTAGCGACTCATCGTAGAACAAGAATGCTGTCCTTTCCTCCCACATTTGATTGATCAAAATAAACCCCATGACAAAGTCCAAAGTCTTTGTGATAGTGCAGTGAATACCACAGTGCTCCATCCACATCACCCCACCCTGCCCCTTCTGGGCTCACATATCCAGCTCTGGGAATCACTGCTGCTGTAGCACTCACTGGGCATTGCCCTAGGCCATTGGGAACTGCCTCACCCAACTGCCAGTAATTGGCTGATGCTTGAAAACCAAGGACTGTGCCCTTCCTCAGTTCAGTACAACTCTGCCAGTCTATCTGGGCTCCAGAGTGCCCAAGTATCAGCCAATGCCTTGGGCGACATCACATAGTGGATGAGCTTTTTCCTCTGCTCAACTCTGCCTTCCATATAGATAAGTCCCCCACCACACACACACACACACACACACACAGAACCAGGCATCAAACTCAGGACCTTGCACTTGCCAGGCAGGTGCAGTGCCACTGAACTAAATCCCTGGCCCCAGATGAGTCTTCCGAGTGCACTCCTCCATAAACATTTTGCACATCATTCTCCAGCCCAGAATCTGATTCCAGGAAACCTGTTGAGAGACAGATGGGCAGGTAAATGCCACACCAGACTAGTCATGGCATGGGTGAGGAAGGAAGACTTACAGACAAAGAATTCAAACACTGCAATGGTTAAAATGAATCACATAGACAGATCTGATCTGACAGTGTCCTGGGTGTATGCTCCACATGTACATAGCACGAGAACTGAAATCACCTCTGGGAGATTCCTGTTTTGTGTTTGCACTGTTGATATTTTACACATTTGGGTTCTAAATAAATTATATTACAGCAAAGATTCTGGGGCTAAAGATGTAAGGCCTCCAAACCACTGTGTCCTGTGATGTCTGCACACATCCACCTCTGCTCTGCGGGGATGGGACAAGTCCCCAAAGCAATCCTCAGCCCCTGTACATTTATGGCAGAGAGGGAGCCAGGCTGGTGAGTTACCACTCTGTGTTACGGACGGAACTGTGACCCTCCAAAATTCTTATGTTGAAGCTTTAATCCCCAGAACCTCAAAATGTGTCTATGTGCAGAAATAAGAGGTAATGAAGTTAAAGTGGGGTTGTTAGCGTGGCCCCCTAGTCCAACGTGACTGCTGTCTTCATAAGAGGAACCAAAGATGTCAAACACACAAATGTGCAGAAAGATGATCATGCAAAGATAACCGGAGAAAATGTCTGCCTACAGGCCCGAGGGAAAGGCTTCCGAATAAAACCAGCCCTCTGATGCCTTGACCTTAGATTTCAGCCTCCAGAACTGTGGGGAAAGAAACTTCTGTTGTTAAGCCACTCGGCCTATGGTGTTTAATTTGGCAGCTCAAGCAGACCAACGCACTAGAGTAGCAGCTGCTACCACAATACTATGGTACACAAGAGGTGGGAGGTAGGGGAAGATATCACCTTTGTCTTCTCTGAAGGAAAAAGAAAAGATGTTGTTTTAACAACTGTCAAGAGTAGAAATAAATTATCTAACTTAGAAACTATGTATCAAGTTTTCTTTTATTTGAAAGAGAAGAGCAAGCTTCTCTGATACTATTGTCTTGGGCTGCTGCACAGATCTGAACCTGGGCCCTGGGGCTTCTGCTGTAGGCCCTCTTGCCAGTGAAGGAGCCCAGTCTCATCTACTGCAGCAAGAGGAGCCACATGGTTCAGAGATAAGCAATTCCGCCTGTGGACCAACGAGGATCCACCGAACACTTGACGTGTAAAACCTTAGGCCATTGTCTCAGTACATTCCGCCTTGCCGTGACAGGATACCTGGTGCTGAGTACTTTGTGAAGAAAAGAGGGGCTTTTTAGCTCAGATTTAGAAGGTCAGAGGCATAGCACTACCTGCTAGGCTGTGATAAAGGCCTTGCTCATTGTGGATGGCGTCACAATGGTGGGAGCAAGGGCAGGAGTGGTGGGCAGCACCTGTGAAGAGGGATTCAGCGTCCCTTACAACAACTGATCACAATTAGATCCTGAGGGAACTAACCCAGTCCCCTGAGACCTTCATTAATCCTGCTGAGAGCAGCTGCCCATGACCTAATTACCCTTCACTAGGCTCCGCTTCTTAAATATTCTAGCTCTCAGCTGGGAGTGATGGCGCACACCTGTAATCCCAGCACTTGGGAGGCTGAGGCAGGAGGATCACTGTGAGTTTGAGACCAGCCTGGGATACATAGTGAGTTCCAGGATAGTCTCAACTAGTGAGACCCTGTCTCAAAAAAAAAAAAACAAACAAAAAATAATCTAGCACTCAACATCACTCTTCCAGCAGCCAAGTTTCTGGCACAGGAACATTTGGGGTACACACTTAAACCATAGCAACCACCCATGGGCCAGGGATTTAGCTCAGTGATACCACTGCCTGCCTCCAAGTGCAAAGACCAGAGTTCTATCCCTGGTACCAAAACCAAAACAAAAAACACAAAAAGCAACCACCCAGCTTCAGTCAAGATCCCAGCTATGACCACACTAGCGATCCCCAGTGATACTGGGGAAACTGCTCGGCTGAGTCCAGCCTCAACTGCTGACTCACAGAATCAAGAATAAATTTTAAAAGATTATTGTTTAAGTTGCTAAGTTTTAGGGTGAGTTGTTACATAGTAATAGATAAATGACACACCAAGCTAAAATCATATCTGCTCTCACGACCACATTTGATGACACTTTGGGGACTCTCATAGCCATCTGCAAATTCTCCTTGCTGAGCCAGACAAACTTAGAAACAGTGACTTATGCACTGGTTAATTTTGCATCTGTCTTCCCCAGGGGCTGGATGACCTCAGGGCCAAACTCTGTTCCCCTGCGTCTATTCTTCCTGTATATATGCTGAGCCAGGGTCTGACATACAGCAGGTGTTCAATAGACATTTACTCAATTTGTAAAATTCCACGGGACTTGTTCAAGTTGCTAACATCTCAGGCTTGGATCACTGTAGCAACCTCCTGACTGGTCTCCCCACACCCAGGCTTTCTCCCTCAAATTCATGTGCCAGCCTAGGAAGAAAACTTTCTAAAATGTAAATCTATCTCATTGTGATCCCTAATCTGAAGCTTTCATTGGCTCCCAACTGCCT